GATATGTTAAAGCTTAGAGGCCACAATAAACACACATTCAGTCCTTTGAAGTGTGCTGAATGAAGTGAGGGCCATAAAGCCCCTTTGCTCTCCCCCTTTTCTCCCTCTTATGGCAGAATCCAGAGAAGGCAGAATTGGGAGTTTCTATGTTTGATAATTAAAGATGAAATATAATTGGATTCTGACAGCCAGATTCACTTAACGACCATGTGACTAATTAACAGCTGTGATTCGGTTAACAACGGTGGCAAGACAGGTCGTAAAATGGGGCAGAATTCACTTAACAATTGTCCCACTTAGCAACAACCATTTGGGGCTGAATGGCAGGCGAGGAGAACCTGGTATATTCCATAGAATTCCATCCAAATTCACTTTCCGAAATAAATTGTCCCGGGATCACCTGTCCCCCCACTTACATTTATATTGAGGGCCAGTTCAGATTTGTGGGGTAAATGGACATCCTGACTCTTGGTCTGGACAAGAGCCTTGGTGATCCTGATCACGGACGTCAGGAACGCTTTCGTCAAGGCTTCATCCTGGAAAAGGCAGAATCCAATTATATTTCATTTCTAGTGATCTACTATGGAAAAAACCCATTTCTGCTCTCTCTGGATTCTGCCATACTACGAAGGGGGAGGGGGATGAGCAGGGGGGGGGTTTATGGCTCTCACTTCCTTCCTTAAACTTCAAAAGGACTGGATGTTGATGTCAGAATTTCATCAAGAGGACTGACCATAACAATATGGCCATCGCCTTTCATCTACTCCTCTCTGAAGTCTCCCTTTTGCCGGCAGTAAGGGAAAAGGGGGGGGGAATTGTCGCCCGGAAGAACTGTGGGGTGGGGGCTGCTTGGGAACACTTAAAACATTGAAGGATAGGAGAGAACTCCTCAGATCCTGCCTAGAACGCCTGCAACCATCTTCTCTTAATAAAGATGCCTGTTGGAAGAGATATTCCAAGAGTTCTGTCTTCTTAAGATGTAAAGTCGGGTAGGTCCTTACACAGGGTGGATAGAGGAGGGTTAGAGGAAACCAGAAGGAAGCACTGATTGATTTAAACCTCGATGCAGCCAACCATCTTCTGTTGAACTCTGAGCGGCTGCCAATCAAAATATCACCTGGACGTTCTGAGTTCTGGTTCTGCCTTAGGCATGAAAGATGGCTGAGTGATTTTGGCCAGTCACCAGGAGACTCTGAGTTTTTCTTCCATCTTAGGATGAAAGCCAGCTGAGAGACTTTGTGCCGTCACCCAAAATGGCGAGTTCTGGATGGGTAACTTTGGGCCAATCACCAGGAGACTGTGAGTTCGAGTCCCGTCTTAGGATGAAAGCCAGCTGAGAGACTTTGGGCCAGTCCATCTATCTCACAAGGTTGTTGGGGGAAGGAGGGAAGAATATTATGCTTGTCCGCTGCCTTGAGTGTAATAAAGGCGGCTTGACCCTCCAATAGATAAATGAACAACTAGCATTTAAACATCTACTCTGCAATCGGAATAGGGGGCGAATCTGAATTAGAGGCCTAACTGGGGGCTGGAGGGTTCCTGCTGATCCAGAGATCAGGATTCTTCCAAGCAACTCTGTCGTTCTACTCTCTTCTGCCTCTAAGATGGGCAGTCAGAGAATTCAATAGAGGGGGGTCTTTGTCGCTCAGGGGTGGTGCTCTGCGAGCCAGCTGGATTTCCTCAGACATTCCTTGTATTTCCTCACTAGCAATGCAAACCCAGATAAGCGGTGATTAACACCAGAGAAACTATTCAGTGGTAAACAAGAGATGAAGGAAATATGAAGAAGAAAAACAACAGTCCTGCCGGCATTGACAGGGCAAGCCACTCATATGTAGAAGGAGAACAAATCCCACTCCCTTCTAGCACTGATAACGTTACCTAGTTGGGTAGGGAAATATCTGCAAGAAAACAACTAAGCAGAGAACACCAAGGACTCTACTGTCCTCCTTCTCCTTCTCCTCCTTCTCCTCCTCCTCCTCTTTTCCCACAATGCACTGATAACATTACTCAGCTGGGTCATGAAATGTCTGCAAGAAGGCAACCCAGCTAAGGACTCCAGATTGTCCTTGTTCTCGCAATAAAGAGGGGAAATAATGAAAGGCGATTCTGGACAATAATCACAGGAGGTTCTTTTTCCATCTTAATTCAGCGGGAAGACCGGTGACATGACTCCCCCCTTTCTGAGAAAAGGGCAAAGAGAAGCCCAGGGTGGAAGCCAGCCTACCTTGTTCCTGGTCCAATACTGGAAGAGAATCTCAGAGACAATGTGTTCCGCTAAAGGCATCAGGTCCTCTGGCTGGGCTCCCAGGGCTGCGTGGCCATAGCACAGGATCACGGCTGTGCGAATTTGTCTCTCAAAACAAGAGTGTGGGTCCTGTGATTACAAAGACGGGGGGGGAGGAGTCAACCTGTTCTCCAAAGCACCAGGAGAAGAAGCAATGGATGGAAACTAGCCAAGGAGAGAAGCAACTTGGAATTAAGGAGAAACTTCCTAACAGTGAGGACAATTAACCAGTGGAACAGCTTGCCTCCAGAAGTTGTGGGGCTCCATCACTGAAGGCTTTCAAACAGAGACTGGACAACCATTTGTCCCTGAAAGAGCTCTGAGGCTGGATCAAGTCCTGAGACCTATTAGATCACCGTTCTGGATCCCAAATGGCCCACTGGATGTCTTTGGGAAGTCCACATGTCTGGCCTCCAATTGGGGTCCCTTTCCCACCTCCACACTGAGGTCCAGGAAGTGGTCATCAACCACCGGAAGGGATGAGGCGATAAGAACTATTCTCCATCATCCCTCGGTCCAATCCCCTTCTCAGTCAGAACAGAAGAAGCTTCTTGGATGAGAAGTGAAAGGAAGGAAAAACAAAGTCCAGTTGCCTTCTGAAAAAGCATCTCTGGGTCTACTGGAGATGTTTGTTGGGGCAACTCATAACCTCCTCTAGCGTTATAAAACAGCCCTCCGGGAGGTGGAGATGGAGAATTTCCACCTCCCAGCGCTGGTAACACGTTGGACTTTCCTTCCCAGAATCCCCCAGCGTTCTTCTGTCCTGAGTCTCAGACCTTGCAAGCCCATCTCTGGCCTTACCTGAAAGGGGGCTTCTTGCAGAGCAGGTTTCTTTGCACGCACAAAGTGGCCAACCTGCCTCAGGGCCACCAGGATCTCAGGAAGATGGCAAAAGGCAACCACTCCGATGGCTTCAGAGATTCCCTAAGCAAAGCGATGCTTGCGAATTAGGACATTTCAACATTTGACCCGTCATCGTGTGTCTTTATTGCAGGCTGCTTCTGTGACAAAGGCTAAGCAAGAGCCACCTCTTCTTTGCTCTCGAGGTGAGCCACATTCTGGAGTCGTTTGCTCCAAACAAGAGTGGTCCATGGGTCAAAAATAGAGGTCTCCAAACTTTAAGACTCGGGGACTTCAACTCCCAGAATCCCCCAGCCTGCAACTTTTAAGACTTGGGGACTTCAACTGGACAGCCATTTGTCCGAAATGGTTTCCTGCCTGAGCAGGGGGTTGGACTCAATGACCTCCAAGGTCCCTTCCAACTTTATTAGTATTATTATTACTATAACTCCCAGAGTGCTGGCTGAGGAATTCTGGGAGTTGAAGTCCACAAATCTGAAAGTCGCCAAGTTTGAAGTCCCAGGATGGAACAATTGCCGCATTGTGGCCACCATCTTGACGCTTGGAGCCTCCCTGTGGAGACCCAGCTCCAGTCCTTCACCCTCTGCCTACCTTGTTCTTCCTGCCTCTCTAGGAATAAATTTATGAGCCAGTGGAAAAAGGATCATCCTCTTTCGGTCAAGAAGAGTCACTGATGTTATCGTCTTATTATTGTTAATATACGGGTAGTCCTCATCTTACAACCACCAGTGAGCCCAACATTTCTGTTGCTAAGCAAGACATTTGTTAGGGGAGTTCTGCCCCATTTTACGACTTTTCTTGCCAAGTTGTTAAGTGAGTCACTGGAGTTGTTCAGTTAGTAACACAATTCTTAAGTGCCTCTGACTTCTCCACTGGCTTCGCTCTCCAGAAGGTCGCAAAAGGAGGATCAGGTGACCCTGGGAGACTGCGACTGTCACAAATAGGAACCAAACATCCAAATTTTGGTCAGGTGACTCTAAGGATGCTCCGACGGCCGTAAGTTGGAGAAACGGTCATAAGTCACATTTTCAGTGCCGTCCTAACTTTCAATGGTCACTAAACGAACTGCCCTACTAACTGCACCCTTCTTTTTATTCCTTCCAAGCTTTGGGAGGGTGGATAGGAATTAAATACAGGCAGTCCTCGACTTACAACCATTTGTTCTGTGACTTTTCCAAGTTAGAGCATCCTTGAAGAAAGCAAATTTAAAAAAGGCATTGCAGGATTCCCTTAACAATTGTGGTGATTCACTTAAACAACATAGCCCCAAAGGTCACAAAATCCAGCACAATTCATTTAACAACTGCCTTGTTTAGCAATGGAAATACCAATCCCACTTGTGGCCGTAAGTTGAGAACCACCTGCAAAAGGAGAGCAATCCCCTCTCCCTTCCAGCACGGATGATGTTACCTAGCTGGGTAATGAAATGTCTTTTAAAAAAATGAAATTCAGAGAGCACCAAAGACAGTTCTCCTCCTCCTCCTCCTCCTCCTCCTCCCCACAAACCCCACTCCCTTCTAGCACGGATGATGTGACCTAGTTGGGTAACAAAAGGTCTGCAAGAAAGCCACCCGGCTCAGAGAGCACCAAGGGCCCCACACAGTTGGAGGGCTCAGCCCCTGCAGAAACCCCACTTCCACTCACTTCTCTGTCTGTTTCTTCTTGAAATGAAAAACCCAGAAGACTTTTCAGTTGTTCCTTGACCAGGTCTTTCTGTCTCGAGTTGCGTAGTTTCACCCCGTAGTATTTGTAAAGCGAAATCTGAAGGTTGGGAAAAGAGTCAGGGAATCGTAGGGAGGTCCACCAATGGGTCAGGAAAAGGAAAAGGGGGACAAACTACGCTCAGAAATGGGCACCGTGTGGTCAGCTACTAATGAAGGAGAGAAGCAACCTAGAGCGAAGGAGAATTTTCCTGACAGTGAGAACAATCAATCTGGCCTCCAGAAGTTGCAGGTGCTCCATCACTGGAGGTTTTTAAGGGGAGACTGGGCAGCCATGGGTCCAAGATGGCATGGGGATTCCTGCCTGAGCAGGGGGTGGGATAGATGACCTCCAAGGTCCCTTCCAATTCTGTTATGCTACTATTCATTAGTCTGTCTAATCTCGAAGAAATGGTGGAACGGAATCATGAAAGGAACGATGCCAAAGGAGGGACAAAATGAAACGTGAACGACAAAAATGAAAATAATTCTTTAAATCATTGGAAGGAAATGAGTTCGCATTGTGTTGGCGTTGTGTCTAGGACAATTGTGCCCCCCCCCCCAAGGGGAAAAGCTCAGCATATTTACCTTCTCTTGAGGCAAGAGATGGGAATGACTTTCTCGGAGCGCAGACTTCTGGTGGAGGGAGGGAAGTCCATCCGTTTTCCTCCTGGGCAGTTGGGGGCCTGCAGAGATCTGTTGAGGCAGCAAGAAGGAAGGCATGGAGGCAAAGCGAAGGAGCAGAGGAAGGAACGGGTTCTCTTGTGTGTTTCCAAGGAAAGCATCCCTTTCCCTTCTGCCTCAGTTTACTTGACTTTTCTAGCCGGGACAGACACAAGGCACGTAAGAAGGACCCTCCCGCGTTGTGTCAGCTGAAGCTGAGGCAGCTTTGGAGAGGAGCTGTTGGAAAATCTCTGCCACAAATTGTGAGAACACTTGTCCGCATGAAGACCCTAGATTTGCTTCCTCTGACTGGAAGGACAGGCAAACAACCCGTCTCCAGAGGTTGCTGGCCCTTGATTTACAGCCATTTATTTATAAGGAATAATTTACAACCGAAAGAAATGACTTCTGACCGTTTTTCGCACTTATGACCATTGTGCGGTCATGCCATCAACATTCGGATGCTTGGCAACTGGCATGTACTTGTGACGGTTGCAACGTCCCGGGTCACGTGATCCCCTTTTGCGACTTCCTGACCAGCAAAGTCAAGGGAGGAGCCCGATTCCCTTAACAACCCTGTGACTAACTGAACATTGGCAGGGGTTCAAAGGTCGTCAAATGGGAACAAAGCCCACTTACAAAATGTCTTGCTCAGCCCCCTAAAACCTGGGCGGAGTTGAGGTTGTAAGTCAAGGACCCCCTGTACAACTCCAGTCTCCCTCCCCCTGGCTGGCTGGCTGGCTGCGCAGGCAGGAACTGAGGTTAGTTCAGCAGACGGAAAAGACTATTTGCAGCTCAGGGTTGTGAACTGGGGAGCCCTTATGCTCTCTGAGCTTTGCACATGTTTCAGGGCCAAGCAAGGTAACATCATCGGTGCTAGAAGGGTGGGGAGGGGTTATGGGGAGGAGGAGGAGGAGGAGGAGGAGGAGGAGGAGGAGGAGGAGGAGGAAAATGGTGGACAATGAGAACTATGGGCTTTTTTCTTGCAGAGTTTTCACGATCCAACTAGGAACACCATCAGGGCTCCAAGGGAGAGGGTTTAGAGAGTGGAGGAGAAGAAGGGGAGGAAGAAGGAGGGAGGAGAGAGGAAAGAGGTGGGAGGAAGATGGTGGAGAACGAGGAGGACTATGGGGTCCTTGGTGCTCTCTTGGTTGTTTTCTTGGAGACGTTTCATGACCCAACTAGGCAACATCATCAGTAGCAGAAGGGAGTGGCATTTGCTGTCTGTTTATACCCAGTAGCCTGCCCTGAATAAGCAGGGAGCGAGCCTCACACCCACTAGCACTGATAAGGTTACCCAGTTGGGTCGTGAAACGTCTGCAAGAAAACAGCCCAGCTCAGAGAGCACCAAAGGCCCCATAGTTCAGCACATTCTCCACAACCACGTTCCACTTTGGGATACATTATCTCCACGGAGACAGCCCTTGCTTCTGCACCCTCTCCGGGATGGACCCCTGGAATCCCCCTGACACAAACCAATCTGCTTACATGCAGGGAGGGACGAAGATGCTCCAGGATGGTATCTAGTATTTCCTTTTCATCCATCTGCTCCAACATCTCTGTCACAGATCTGCCGTTCAGTGGCTCCTTGCTCTCCCAGAAGGTTTGGAAACATTGGTCGGAGAGTTCTGAGAAGGAGAGAGAGACTGGGATTGACGATGGGCAATTCCACGGGACAAACCTTCCCAAAAGGAGGAGAAAAAAGGGTGCGTAGGGGAAGACCAGGCTGAGCCCGAGGGAGGGAGGGAGGGAGGGAGGGAGGGGTCCAAGGCGTCATTAGTCACAAGTCCCTTCGCGTCCGCAGGAGATCTAAATCCAGCCCAACTTGAATGTGTGTCTTTCTGACCTTTGTGGAATGGGACAACTCGCCACAGGAAAATGTAACAATTCAATTTCATTATTTAAAATAAATAAAAAATCATTTTAATTCTTATCGTCCACATTTCATTCCTTTGCCATCCTTTCTTTCACGATTCTCTTCCACCATTTCTGTGATATTAATGTAACCCGCAGTGAGTTGTCCCTCGGCTAGTTGGCCACCGACGTTGGCCGTGGCGAGTTGTCACAGGGACCCTTCCCCTTAATGGCCAGCTGGTCAGGTTCTTGTAGGGAGCTTCAGCTTGCCATAAATCTTCATGCTCATTTTGAAGTGACTGAACCTTTACAGCATAACAGAGTTGGAAGGGACCTTGTAGGTCATCTAGTCCAACCCCCTGCTCAGGCAGGAGACCCCCTGCCATTTCTGACAAGTGGCTGTCCAGTCTCTCCTTGAAAGCCTCCAGGGATGGAGCACCCACTGCTTCAGAAGGGAAGTCGTTCCCCGATTAATTGTTCTCCCTGTTAGGAAATTCCTCCATAGTTCTAGGTCGACTCTCTCCTTCATCCGTTTCCATCCAATGTTCCTTGTCTGGCCTTCGGGGGCTTTGACCCCCTCCTCTCTGTGGCATCCCCCCAAATATTGGAACACTGCTATCCTCTCAGCCCTGGCCCTTCCTTTGGCTTGACTGGCCCAAAGTCACCCAGCCCGTTGTCATGCGTATAAGGCAGAACTAGAACTCACCACCTCCCTGTTTCTGGACGGGTGTCTTAACCACAACCTCTAAGTGCCTTTTGCCTGAAATCTATTGACTGAATTTATTTATAGGTCATGTTCCCAGACACCCATCTCGGCGAGGCACTCTGGACACTGTGCCGTGTAAACAGCATATAAAGCAGCGTATAAAATTCGCCATAAAATATTAAGATTAATTTAGGATGACATTTTTTAAAGAAAAAATGGTAAGATTGCAACATTGTGACATTCCAAAGCAATAAAAATCCCAGGGTCTTTGAACAGGACAGAGCTGGAAGGGATCCTGAAGGCAGGAGACCCTATCCTGGGGGGACGCTGTATATTGGTATATCAATACTGGCAATCGTTCAAGGTGGGTGAATGAAAAAGGCGGAGGGGGGGGGCTCTCGTGGTACCAGCCAGCCCCGGGATTGTGTGGCCCTTTGTGCCTGCCACCCAAAGCCACACAGCCAGGTTTCGACCGCTTTGTGAAAGGCGAAGAGAACGGGGTCTCCCCTCCCCTCAGAGGGCAAAGGGTTTCCTGACAGAGGAGCAGCAGGGGTAGAGAAGGCCCCTGCCCAGACCCCACCGGCCGACCTTCTTGGACTGAGGGGGTCTGTGGCCTAAGTTCTCTGCCTGAGGAAGAACGGCTGCAGGGGCTGGGTTGACCCCCCTCTTCTTTGTGGCAGCCCCTCAACTCCTGGACCGTGCTCCCCCAAGTCCTCCTTTTCTTAGGACTGGGTCTGGCCCAAGGAAAGGAGGACTTAGGGTCACATGATGCAGTATTTGAGGGGCTGCCACAAAGAAGAGGGGGTCCCCTTATTTTCCAAAGCACGGAGGGCAGGAGAAGAAGCCCTGGAGGGAAACTAACTTGGACTAAGGCGAACAGTGAGAACAACCTATCAGTGGAGCAGCTTCCTTCATCCCTGGAGGTTTTTAAGAGGAGACTGGACAGCCCCCTGTCTGAAATGGCATAGACTCTCCTGCCTGAGCAGGGGGTTGGACTAGAAGACCTCTGAGGTCCCTTCCAACTCGATTGTTCTGTAATAAACAGAGAAAGAACTGTACCCAAGGGGTAGGTAAACACCCTGAAAGAGCTCTGAGGCGGGATCAAGTCTTGGGACCTATTAAATCAATGTTCTGGATCCCAAATGGTCCCTTCCGGCTCTATTCTGATTGATGGATTGATTAATGGATGGATTGACTGATTGATTGACTGATGGAAACAGTGGGATGGGCTAATGTGATAGGACAAAGCTGCTTCCATAGATAGCCCAGCCCTGCTCTGTGTGTACCTGGATATAAAGGCAGGAGGGCCTTGGAAGGCCTTCTCCCCTGGGATAGGCTGCTCCTCTGAGACCTTTCCCTCTCCGGCACCCTTGGCAAGGCCACGGGCTCTTTCTCGCCTTGCTGGTCATCCGCCTGAGCAGTCCCTGGAGTGGTCCTCAGGGTTGTCCTTTGGCCCAGGTCGGGGAGCACCAGCGCTGGAAGCTGAACCCTCTTCCTGGCCTGCGTTGGAGCTGCGGAAGACTTCACAAGCAGAGGCAGGAGCTGCGTGGTTCTCCGAGTGGCTGCGTCTTGGGAAGTGGATGGGTGGGAGCCAGAGAAATGGGCTACCTGGCGGTCCCACTGCTGCTGGTCACGATTGACCTGAAGGTTGGACTCCTTGCTGTCCTTCTTCTTTAGCAATGGCAACTTGGTCAGCCTGCGACTCATCCTGCCGTGAAGAGTGAGGGCTAGAACTGGAAGCAGACCCTACCAATAAAGGAGAAGGTCTGTAACTGGGTTGAAATGAGGGGTCCTTGGTGCTCCCATCTCTCCTCGGGTGTCCAATCGTACGTGGACATATAAAGAATTATTATTCTATTCTATTCTGTTCTGTTCTGTTCTGTTCTGTTCCACTCCACTCCACTCCACCCCACTCTACCCCACCCCCCACCCCTATTATCTTTAATAGGAGGAAAGATAATCTGCAGAATCAAGGTTTAGTCTTACCTGATCTTCTAATCTTCCAAACTTTGCAAAGTTCTTCTCTTCACTTGATGGATTTCCACACTCTCCTCTCCTCTCCTCTCCTCTCCTCTTCTTTCCTCTCCTGCCACCTCCGATCTTGTCCACTCTACACCACTCTCCTCTCCTTAGCTCTCCTCCGATCTTCTCCAATCTCGTCCACTTCACTCTCCTCTCTTCGACTTAAACACAGTGCGACTCCTCTCCTCTCCTCTCCTCCCACCTCCGATCTTGTCCACTCTACACCACTCTCCTCTCCTTAGCTCTCCTCCGATCTTCTCCAATCTCGTTGACTTCACTCTCCTCTCCAACACAACAGAACACAATACAACTCAACTCCCTCCTCTCCTCGCCTCGCCTCAACTCGCCTCAGATTTCCTGTCCTCAAGCTTGCCTTTATATATCTGCCCTCAGGGGTGACATCACAGCATTATTGATGACCTCACAATGGGCAACTGATATCCTGACCCCAGGGGCCTGTAAGGACCCAGCTCACTTTCCATCTTGAGAAGACAGAACGCCTGGAAAGTCTCTTCCAACAGGGATCTTTATTCAGAGAAACCGATTGCAGGCATCCTAG